AAAAAAAAAAAAAAATTAATCACAACTAAAAGATTTAAGGTCACAAGAATCAGCAGATTTTCACATGAAAAGTATGGCAAATTTCAGCTACTCTCCAAGAATTTAACAGGAGCAACTCAGATAAAAAGGAAAATCCAAATAATATATCATCTACCACACACTACCATGAAAACTCAGCAACTTTTAGAACATATGAGATTATCAAGACAGACAGCTTAAATTTGAGCCTCATACCTTGCTGATTTTTGGCACTACAGATCTAAGCATATAAAGCCTGTCATTAAGCTTCTTCCTTCTACGCCTCTCCGCCATTAAATTCTTGGCCGGCAACCCTTTCTTCTTCCCCTTGTGATCCCCAACGGTGACGCTGCTGTTGGCATTGGAATTAGCATTCCCTAATTTCTCAGTTGGCTCGTCCGAATCATAATTCACAGCTGAGAGATCAACTCCCATATAATCCTCCACTTCATCCTCATAACTCCTCTTCCTCTTCCTTTCCCCAAACTCTATCCCACCTGTGTCATCCAAGCTCGTCAAACCCTCCTCGCTTTTCGAGCTGATAGGCCCCAGATTGTGCAACCCGCCGGACCCCTGCCGCAGGGCGGCTCTCTTCTGAAACAGAGTAGGCTGTGCTCCGCCGGGCGGCAAAACCTCAAGCGGCCTCAGAAGTTTGAACCTGTTAGAAAACCCGTCGAAACCCTCGAAACCGTAGGCGTCAGAAGCTGGTCCTCCAACGGCGGTGGCGTCGTCGGAGTAAGGGAGTAGCCGGGAGGTGGAGGGGAAGTCGGAGCCGTGGTGGAATTGGGGGTTGAGGCCATTCAGAATCGGAGAGGGGGCGGCGTCTGGGGCGGGGAAGAAAGGCTGGTCGCAGCAGCTCAAATCGAAGCCAATGTCGAAATTGTTGGCGAAGAAGGAGGGCAGCATGGATTTATGAGGCAGGAAGGTGGGAATATGGTGGGAGGGGTCGAGAGAGGAGGAGTCGAGGGGATTGAACATGAGGTTGGTGTAGTCAGGGTGGTGGTAGGGTGGGTTGGGCGGGGCGTTGTTGACGAAGCAGTCGGACTCGAGCATGGACCTGAAGGAGGAGAGAGAGGCGTTGATGTCGTCGGGCTCGGGCTGGAAGTGGGCCCGTGGCGGCCATGAAAGAGGTTCTTCAGGTTCTCCGTCGGTCCAAACGACGCCGTTGGACCTGGGTAGCATTTCGAGAGGTTGGCGTGAGTGGTGAGAAGGACCTAAGCTAAAAAGGTAAGCAGCTTTTCACTAGTTTGTTTGTGGTCTTGTGGGGGGAGAGAGAGAGAGAGAGAGAGAGAGAGAGAGAGAGAGAGAGAGAGAAGAGGAAGAGGGTTGTTTTTGTTTCGAGAAGTCTAATAATAAAAAAGAAATAGTATGATATTTAGTTGCAGAGTGTAAAATTAGAGGGAAGAATGAAAGAGGATGGATGAGAGCGCCATAGCAGCATATTAGCATTGCATTGGAAGCTGCAAAAAGAGTCTCTCTATCTATCTTCTATCTATAATATAATATAACTTTTTTGTTTATTATATAATTCTTATATAATATAATATATAATATATGCTCACAGATTATTATCTTGTTCGGTTATTTATTTGTCCCCTTAAGAATAGAAAGCCCAACCCTCTATAGCACTGACGTAGCCCAACAAGGGATAATTTTCACTACTACTATATTAATATGTCCTTGAAGAATTTTAGTTATGATTTAGTATATTTTATACACTCGACTCGACTCGAATGAATGTATATGATTGTATGCAATCTGATTGGTATCGAATTTGCAGTCTAACAAGTTTCCATTAGCTCAAATGACTTTTAAAAACCAGGTTGATAATTTGAGCCCAAATCGTACCAAATGTGATGTAGGGAAACGTACGAGTGAAAAAGATAAACGAGATACTCTCTCGATAAAACTCACAATCAATTCATATTTTTATTCAATAATCAACTATCTCATAACAAAACAGAAGAGCCTTTTAAATAAGGCTCCTAACCTTAGATGTTAACTTGTCCAACAAGACAAGATATCTTACTAAATATAAAAATCTAACTTATTCTCCAAGATAACTAAAATGGATCGTAATAATAATAATATACACCAAAATGGATCGTAATAATCAAGTCAAAAGTTTCCTACGTCTACCTCTAGACGGCCATGTAGATGTAAATTATTTTTATATTTATTTAAAATGTATTAAAGTATGCTTTGATTTTATATTCAATAATTAAAAGAATAACTTTAATAATTAGCTATAAATATTTTATATTTTGAAAGAAAAAATATATATACAAATTTAGTCGATAATTAGTATATTTTATAAATAATATATTTTATGAGTTGTTTATAATAATAATAATAATAATAATAATAAATACATTAATATCTTACAACCCTGCTTAAAGTCCACCTAGGTGTTGGCCCGAATATGTTTCCTAGCCAACGCTTAGTGACTAATATAAAGGGAAAATGTTATGTCCCGTTATGGTACCATAGCATATGTCGCTTGATTTTTATGTATGTATAACAGTAGTATAAGTAAGTACTAAACTATAATTTGTCAGTCAACCAATAATGAATGTTAATAAAACGATGTTATTAATTAGCCTTTTGTGGTTAATCCTATCCTAGGCAATAATAATAATAATAATAATAATAATAATAATAATAATAATAGTAATACGAAAAAATTAATAAGTAGATGCATAATCCCTTCCATTGAGGCGATCGATGGAGTGATTTAATTATGAGTTCCCTCAGGCTCAGGCAGGCCTCAACAATCTCATCCTCTTGATTATGAGTATCGATCACATAATAACATTATTATTGTCATCTATCTTTATTCAATCATTCAACTAATTTAGTAATCCTTTATGTATTTCAGTTCCTCGCAAACAAATTAAAGGCATGCATACTATATGCAAGTCATGAAACATTAATTAAACTAATTAAAGTCACCTAGCTAATTTGTTGTTATTGATGTTATAAACCAATGAATGAATTAAGGAAAAAATGTCTAAGTTTGTTAAATATCAAAACCAAAAAGGGCCGGGGAAAATTACAACTAACTAACTAGAATAATCGGCGGAAGTTGGTTTGAATTCAAAATATATACTCCATAAATATATATGTGTTGGAATTTATAATTTGTTGAATGGGAAAGAGCAAGCTCCTCGTGAGCCCCCTTTCTTTCTATTCATTGCACCTAATAACACCGCAAAAAATAAGACTTCCCATTTTTCTTTTTCTTTTTTTTTTTTATTAAACTTTCCCACCTCTTTATATTATTATTATTATTATTATTATTATTATTATTATTATTATTATTATTACCTCACAAATTTTCAAATTCAATTAATATTCAAACTTCCCATACATTTAACAATGCCCAACGAAATTCAATCATGGACGCGTCGACTGTGACACCACGTACCCAAAAGAAACCCAAATTTTTATTTAACGTATGTCCGTAATTCCATTACTATTGATTGACTGATTTAAAATCAACACCTTCATTCATATATATATATATATATATGAATATATATAACAACAAAAAAAACCTCTTATATTCCAACGGAAATTTTCCGTTGGAATTCTTTATATTTTCCATTGGAATAGCTATTCCAACGGATATTCCTACGTATAAAAATTCGTGAGAAAAACAACGGCCGTTGGAATAGCTAAAATCCAACGGAAAATTCTATGAAAATAAATTTCTACAACTATTCTAACGGAAAAAATTCGTTGGAATTACTCAATCATCCAACACTTATTCCAACATAAAATTAAGCTTGTTAGAATATTCATTGGAATTTCTAACAGAAATTTTTGCCGTTAGAATTGAAGTGTTTTCTTGTAGTGTGACATATATATCCTATCTAATAAAAAAATATAACATCATTTATACTTCATTAGTTTGAAATTTCACTATAAAAAAATTGTTATATTCCAACGGAAAATCCTATGGAAATTCCAACGGATATTCCAATGGAATAGCTTCCGTTGGAATGCTTCCAACGGAAATATACCATTGGAATGTGTTTTTCATTGGAATTTTAGATGGAATTTGGTGATTCCAACGGCTATATTTCCAACGGCTTTTTACCGTAGGAATTTCTGTTGGAATATGCAATTTCCATTGGAATTTTTAATTCCACCCCCGTTGGATAATCCACCGTTGGAATCGTCAAAAAATCCAACGAAAATTCCAATGGAAAACTCATTCCAACGGAATATTTCTGTTGGAATTTCCGTTGGAATCCATTGAAAAATTTCAACGGAAATACTAGTATTAAAATATATGTTGGAATTATTGTTGGAATCATTTTATTAAAATAAATTTTCGTTGGAATTTTATCATTTTCTTGTAGTGTTTGCTCATCTATATATATATAAAAAGAATTAACATTTATTAAAAATAGTAGCAAAAATTTAGGAAACATTTAATACATGCTATTTTTGGAATGTTTTATACTATATGCATTAATTGATTCTATTTACACCTTCTCATATAAGATCAAATAATTACTTAAATAAATTATTTATTTCTGCAGTATTTTTATTTATATTTATTATAATAAATTACAAGATTGATTTTCGTGATTCATGTTGATAATATTTTGATCAAGACAAATATTATTTTATTAATAGTAATACTTTCATTGATATACATTATAATGAATTACAAGATTGATTTATGTGATCCATGTTGATAATATTTTGGCCAAGATAATATTACACCATATTTTAAGTTCTAACCATAATATTAGTTTTTTTTCACAAATATTCACTTTGTATCCAAAAATATTTATTAAAAATCAAGTAATCATGCAAAATCAAATTGGTGAATTAATATTTGTCAATATATTTGTTTCTTAAGCTTTATTTTGTTAAATATAAAAAATAAATCGTTCTTCAAAGACGTACAACTTCTATAACTTTATAAATAATAATGACATTATATGACATAAAGTGTATAATAAAATAATAATTAAGTATTATATGGTGAACAAGAATGAGTAAAATTGTTATTCTCTCTTATATCAAGGAATAAATATATATATTAAAATCAAATTTAAATTATGATAAATCTGTCAGTGAAATAATATATTAATTATTTTAATATTTTGACTAAAAAAATAATGTTGATTAAAAGAGGTGCAAAATATATTATAACCTTATTGTTTATTATACTTAAGTTGA